AATTGCTCATCCTCTTCTCTCTCCTCTTGGGTGTTAGAATTTGAAAATTAATCTCCTTTGTCTTTGAAAATTAACCCACAAAAGATAATGAATGTGGATCTTTCACAATATAGTCATCGAACAAGAGGTTGATATCATGCACAAAAGATGTGATTGTGGTATGTACCATATTTTCTCAAGTTCAACTCTAGGAAGATCAAGCTATAGCTCATATGATAACACATGTTCCCAACATGTAATAATTTAAGTATTATGATATATGGTTGATGTATGTAGTATTTTTATTGTATTTATTCTATTATTGATGCAACTATTTACTATATTATGACATCATCAAAGGAAAAATAAATCAATATAACATAGGAAATGCATTAATAAAAATGCACAAAAGACATAAAACAAAATTTTCACACAAATCAAATTCTTCTAACTAAAGTGTATAAACTAAACATAAGAGACAACACATTTTTACTTTTAGCCATAATTTTCGTTACTGGTTCCTATCCAAACTCGTATAATTGATGTTCAACTATCATATTGAACGTAATAATATAAGTTAACATAATATGTTTGTGCATCCCAAAATTGCCTCGACCTTCTAACAATGACACATTTTTACTATGGTATGCCAAAAAACCCTCACAACATCATTGTGGTATGCCTTTGGTACTTTGAAAACTATTTCTTTTTCTGACTTCTTAGTTTGCTAATAGTCACCTTAAATTTAACCCATTCATGATAAATTCCGTCAGCCAAGTAATAACATTGATTATACATGCTGCCATTTACCTCATACTCAAATTTTGGAATAAGTCATATGCCTGCTTGATTAAAATGTTGGAATACTCCAAAGTGTTCGCCATTGTTCAATTTAGGTGTTTCAAAGAAGGTATGCCAAATCCAGCTAGTATATGACACTACAACTTCAAGAATAATGGTTGGTTTTTTCTTATATCCAGTATATTAGCCTCACCAAGTTGACACACATGCTCTCATTGCCTATCATCGGCTTACATTCGCCTCTCATAAGCTTCTCTGCTAGAGAATCCATGATGGATAAAGAGTTGGTATATAGAGACTGATAGGGGGTGAATGATGGGATGAGTAGTATGATCAAGTTCAAGGCTCATTTATTAAAATATGAAAAGATTGTTTATACAACAATATGACTAAAGTTGGATGAGCAATTGATGACATTGACTCGCTACCACTATAAAACTATCCCACTATAGGCCAAGTGTAACCTATAATAAGGTGTAACATAGAGTAAGCATTTCAAATATCAACACGGGAGGACTATCTACCTTACTTCAACCGTCTACACATTATCTAGTGATAAAATTGTGGTTAAAGCTATTAACACTAACAAGCAAGCAACTAAAGCGATTGTGAATTCAATTGAAAAAAGATCACTCGGACGATATTCCCCCTAGTCCCATGTTGTGATGATATCGTGATACTCTAAAGTTATAGGTAAACATTCATATACCATTAGGAGCGCTAAAGTAGCTAGGACCCCTATTCGAGTGCATCCTAGCCAGCTTGATCGAACTAATAGGAGGGACGCACCTCATACCCACAAAAGTTGATAAAGGCAATCGATTGAACTCCCTCAAGAAGATTAACCTAAAACAATGCCCGCAAACTTCTCTAAGGGCTCTGGACAATTGTAGGCTTAATGGTTGGAGTGTTGACATTATGGTTTGTAGATCGTGATCCTGACACTGCTTGCGAACTGCACAAAGTCTCTTGGAAGTGTGCAGTCTTCACGATTTGGACGTTCACTTCACGGTTGCTCCCCGTGATAATCTTCGTCTGGCCATGATCCATGCACTTTTGTCAATTTCTCTCCCTTTTGCCGTCTTTTGTCCGACTTTTGATCCCGATGCCAATTTTACCTGCTAAGGTTTGAAACATGCCAAAACAAGCAGAAACCGAGCGTAAAATAGTTCCAAGGACGGTACAAACACATCAATCGTCGCAAGGCAAAGGGGTATAAATGTCTGTAATCTATCCCGAATCAGACACAAATCATTCTAATTAGTTTTGGATGAATAATTGATGGTACTCATTATGATTAGATTTGGATAAACAATTGACGAAACAACTCAATCCATCAAATCTATAACCATCAAAACCAACTATTGTGTTTTCATCATCGAATGCATCATATTTAGTGACATAAAAATGTCTCAACATTAAAAAAATACAACAAAATATTTGTCTTAAATAATTAGTACTAATTTTATAAAAATAAAGAATAAATTATCTAAATAAAATAATGAAATCAGCACTAAATTATATTCGAACAATAAAATAAGGTAACAATGCCATATTGTTAGAACTAAAAAAGGGCCAAAGTTCCAAAATCCTAAAAGAGGGGCTCCAATGGCATGATCGAAGTATAAAAACAAGTCAAACTTTTGGGGTCAAATTTTGCACGCAAGAAGACGGAAGTGTCAAAATGTGAGAGCTCCCCTGTTGATCATGTGACCAAGTGCAACTCTTCCCTCCAACTCTAATTATAACAAAGAAGTTTCTTTTCATCCACCAATTTCACCCGATCAACTTCTCTTTTACCCTCCGAAAGCTATTCTTTAAAAAATTCACTATGAAACCTCTCTTCAAATCTTCATGTAGATAAGAATGCTTGAGACACCTCCAATGAAAACTCTCTTCAAATCTTCTTTGTTTCTCTTTACCCCGAACCAAATCAAGCATTTTCAAAGGGTCATCACCGGATCCAGCAAGAGGGATTAGTGATGTTGCGGCCTCGTCTTGGCAAAGAGAATTCGCAAAAGGATCCTTCTCTAAAAGTGTATCAAGGTGGGGTGAAAAGCTTGAGGAGTACGCGTAACTCGTGGAAGCTTCATCCACTTCGACCTTGTCCATTGGTTAGAATCCAAATGCGTCTTCAACCTCCTCTCTTTCTTGTTTATTCATTTCTTCCCCATATTGAATATCAAGCTCGTTCTCTTCCTTAAGTTCGTCTCCACCACATCAAGGCTCTCTTGTAAATCCACTCTTTGTTGGTCGGGAGCTATGATGTGTCTCCAAGCAAGTAAATCACTAGATTGATCTTCGATGTCCTCTTGCTCGCCCATCGTGGAGACTTCTTCCTCTTCCTCGCTTTCCTCTTCATCTTTATCGTCCAAGAGGTGTACTTGTTCGAGTCCCGAACGAATTCGTTCGAGCTCTTTTTGCGTGGTTTCATACCTCTTGTCCAATTCTCGTTGTTCATTGAGGAACTTTTGAAAGGAAGGGTTGGATGTCCCTATAGTCTCCACCTTTTCCTCTTTGATCTTCTTCTCTTCTTTGACGGGTGAGGGTCGATTGTGAGCAAGTTGTGCACATGCTTGCCCAACAACCTCTCCTAGTCTCTCCGTTTTTTGGAGAGTCTCCTCCGATGCCCTTAGAAGAGATGTTGTTGCTTAATTATACGCCTACTTACGTACAATTTAAAGATAAAGTTAATTAGTTATTTTTAGGGCCCTACTGGATTGCTAAAATTATATCGTATTAGCTTAAGATATAATTATACACCCACTGGCGTACAATTTAGAGATAAAGTTAATTAGTTAGTTGGACTCGAACTTTTTCGGTTGTCTACGTACCTGTTATACAAGATCAAAGTCCACTTAATTCGTTCAAAACTTTGGTGTTTTAGTTATAACCACGCTCCATTGATCCTGATTATCGAATATATGATTTTTATTAGAGAAACATATATATATATAAAGAGAATAATATTTTTAATTTTGAAGCTTCAAAAGAGGTTTTGCGTAATTGAAAAAGTTGGAATAAACTTAATTTAGAGATTTGTAAAATTTCGTATTAAGGAAGAAAAAAAAACAATAATATACTATACTTTCATGGATAGGACGATTTCAAGCTTGATGTTCGCCTAGCCCTCTTGCTAAAACGTGGATCGTATTAGGGATGACAATGGGTCGGGTTCGGTTGGATTTTGTCAAATCCAAACCCAAATTCATGGGTTTATTTGTGGAAAAAACCCGAGGTAAAACCCACTGGTTTGAAAAACTTAAACCCAACCCGCTGGGTATCTGCGGGTTCATGGGTACCACGGGTTTTTGTCGTAAAAAATTTACAATAACAAGTTCCTATCAAAATTAAAGTCAAATATCAATCTCTCAATACAAATTATCCATATAAAACACCATTCTAGAAAATTCAAACAAATCACAAATTAACTATACAAATTGTTCAACACCAATCTAGAAACTCAAGAAAGTTGAAGCAAATCACAAATTATTCATAAATAACATGATTAATTGAAAGCTTCTTCCTCCTTGTCAATTAAGTTTTTCACTCTCCATTCTAGAAAATTCAAGCAAATCACAAATTAACTATACAAATTGTTCAACACCAATCTAGAAAACTCAAGAAAATTGAAGCAAATCACAAATTATTCATAAATAACATGATTAATTGAAAGCTTCTTCTTCCTTGTCAATTAAGTTTTTTTCCACTCTCCACTCAATAACATCAACTTCATTCTACACAATTAGAAAGAAAAAATTAGATACGTCTTCACAAATATAAATAAGATTAGTTGTTTGAAATATTAAATATATCGATAAAATTAATTATATGTGTGTGAGCGGGTACCCATGGGGCGGGTTTACCTAAACCCAAACCCAACCCAACCCGGTAAATAGTGAACGAGTTTAAACCTAAACCTGACCCAAAACCCATCAATACGAATTTTACCCACATTGACCGGATTGGATCAGATGGGTACCCATTAGTTCGGATTTTGTTGTCATCCCTAAGTCGTATACACCTGAGTCCCGACCCGAGAATCCAGTTTCTAATCTCGGGTTACACTATTTAGTAATTTAGGTGATTTTCATTTTAAAACAGAGAAAAATCGGGGTGCATTTCGGTAATTAGGCAAAAAAACGCGGTGGCAGGGATAGTAAATACAACGAAACCATAGGAGACAGTTTAGTCATTGTAACCTAGGCGGCCGCCGGTCAGCTCACTCTCTCACTCCTTCGCCTCTCTCTCGTTCTTTCTCTTCTCTATGCCTCCCCTGAGACGAGAAGAAGGAAAAGAAAACCCTTCCTCTGACATGCGAACAAACACCACAAAACGAAACCCCTCTTCCTCTTCTTGATTCTGCAAACAACGATAATAAAAACGGAAGGCATACCCCGCCGGCGACGACAAGGTAGACATCGTCGGAGACGACAACGACGGCGACTAGGAGGGAATTCGAAGGTTCGTTTTTTTTTTGTTTTGTTGTATTTTTGTCTTTGCATATCGATTCTTAGGCTTGAGATTCTGATTTGAATCTTTGTTTATTTTGGACTTGCATTTTGAATCCTTGTTCTCGCATTTTGCTTTCCAGTTCAGATTTGCTTTCGTTACTTTTGAAGAATGTAGCTGGTGATTTCGAGGGACGCCAAGGCTACTCAATGGTCTCTGAATTTCAGTGTGTGTTTTGTTTTGTTATAATCTTGCTAATTTGAATCTCAAAGACTTAAACTAAAACTATGAGATCTATTGTAGCCTCGGACCTCAGTGGTTGTGATGTTTGTTTCTTCCAATAAGTAACAAAAGACTGAAAGGAATTTGTATAGCTTTTTGTTTCTCACGTGAATAAGCTCAATGGGTTGGGTTGGGTTATCTTCTGCACAGGGCAATCGAATGTTGTAATTAGCTCCTGTTTGTTGATATGCATGCAGAACAAAAAGCTCCTAGGTGACTTGGGATTGGAGGGTCCCTGCATTTTCAATTGCTCTTGGTTGATCAATAGATAGATTGCATAGGCATGAGAATATGCAGTGGATGGCGCCGTTTCCTCATTTTTCTTCCTATTCTTTTCATCCTTTCTCATCTGCTCTATGGTAATCATCTCTTGAATATTTGGAACATTATTTATTTTTCAGTCTAGTTGTAGTAATGTTGTGACGGATTCCTTTTGCAGTTTTTGAGTTACACCCAGAGGCTGTCGAAAATCGGTCCAGGAAGGAAAACAAAAAATCTGATCATCTGGTTCTTGGGCCTGCTGCAGGTCAAGGCTTTCCTAATCGTTTGCAATGCCAAGGTTGTTTGTTGGATACTCTTGCAAATCAAAACTGTGGTCTCATTTATAACATATTGTCTACCACCAGGATTCCGGATGGCTTTTCACTTTTAGGCTTTAGGTTTGCTGCCTTATGTGTTACTTGACTTCATTCCCCTTTTTTGTACATGCAGGCTATCAAGCTCTGAACAAGACGCATGTACAAACATCTTCTTTTCCTTCCAATTTAGGGGTTGGAGTATCTTTCGTCACCGTATTCACCATTTATAACTCTTCAGTGGGTGTTCATGCTGAGAGTCGATCATCAAATTTGGTTACTGTTGGAAGTGCTTCATATACAAAGACTGAGAGGTCACTGGCCATTCTGAATGTCTACATTAACTTCATTCAGGTACTTTTTCCACTCAAGTCAAGGGACTAGTTACTTTCGTACACGAAGAATGAGGAGTAACTTGTCTGGATACTGTTGAGGTTTAACTGCCATTGCATTTAAGTTTCTCTGGTATATATATTATTATTTTTGCAGGTGGCAATGCCTCGGAGCAATGTTGTCATTCTGACTGATCCAGCATCTGATCTCTCGATTCATCGGAACAATGTCAGTGTATATCCAGTTAAGGGTGAATATTCCCGGGACAACCTGATGCTCCAACGGATCAGATCTTACATTGTAAGGGCTCATCAAATTGATAGGTAGAACATTTTTGTTATCGTCTTAGTTACATCGCTTTTCTTCACAGAAAATTCCTTCCTTAAATTGACTTCCGCTGGTTGTTCCTGTTTATTTCACTTTTGTTAAGATTGTGGAACTTTTTCTTCCTTCGCCAACTGTATCCGAAGTGATGTGGGAAACAACTCATGAAAAATGACGCCTATCAATTCAGAAAGTTGGATTTTCTTTTCCCCCCTTTTCAGGCTTTTCTAGATATCAAGCTGAAGGACCTGGTGAAAGAGCCTGGGCGTATAACTCACTACATCTTCACCGACTCGGATATAGCTGTAGTTGGTGACCTAGGTCACATGTTCCGTGACTACCCGAATTTTCATCTGGCTCTCACCTTTCGCAACAATAAGGGCCAGCCTCTTAATTCTGGGTTCATAGCTGTTAGAGGAACTCGTGATGGAATCTTTAGGTAAATGTTAAGGATTCTTTGAATTAGGGACCTTGAACTGTGCTTTTGGTATGAGTTGTGGGGGCAAAGGGATTCACTTTGACTTTTTTCCTACAGGTCGAAGATATTCCTTGAGAAGGTACTTCAAGTATACAGTTCCAAGTACATGACTGCTTCTAGAATGCTTGGAGACCAGTTAGCTCTTGCATGGGTGGTGAGGTCTCATCCTGCTTTTGACTCGGGGAGATTTAGCAAATCACGGGCTTTTCAAGAAGACATTGACGGTGCATCGGTGCTGTTTCTACCTTGTGCTACACACAATTGGACACCACCAGAAGGTGCAGGGCAGTTCCATGGTATGCCGTTGGATGTCAAGGTATATATAGCCCAGTTGTGTCCTTTCCCCCGGGAACTTTGTTTTTCCTTTGTTTTTGCCCGGTAATAATCAAGTCAGCTATGGTAAGTGGGGAAGATCTTTGTGTTTGTGGTTGCTTGCAGGTGGTTCATTTTAAGGGTTCGAGGAAGCGACTAATGCTGGAGTCTTGGAACTTCTTCAATTCCTCGTCTACTGTGAGCGTGTCCGACATGTTGTGCCTCGTTTTAATGAGCGGGAGAACTAAGTATGACTTTTGAATCATGTAAACAGTTGGAGAAACAGATAGCAACCAGTGGCCTGGTCATGGTGGGAAAAACCTTGGGTTCATTTTGAGGGGAAAAGAAGGGAGGTTTTTCTTTTCTTTTTATGGGGCAATCATTGCACAATCGAAATACTCTGCTGTGCATTTGTTTTCTGGTACTTGAAATCAATCCAAAAGAACCATTGATCCAAATCTCATGAATATTCTGGCATGACCTTTCACGTGTGTATTTGGCTCAACTCTAACTACACATCCCAATCGACAGCCAAATATAATTGACAAACATGTGTAGCAGAGGGTAAACAAGCAATAAAAATATTGAACCACGGGTCTCCTTGGTGTACCTTACTTCGGCTTGAGGTTTCATTATCTAGCCAACCTAGTGATTAAGAAACTAGCCTAGCTACACTAACCTAACCACTACCCTAGCTAATTACAAGTGGTGGAGCTCTCTTAGCTTGAATCTTCCTAGTTCTATAATTTGGATCGATATTGTGTACTATCCTAGATCGATAGACTCAATTCATCTACTATTTAGGAGCTATACTCCCTTGAGATTTGGCCCGAACGGCGTAGCGGTGGATGGTAGTGTTCTATTCAACCTAGAGTTTCATGTACCATCAAGAGAACAACTCTATAGACTCCCTCGTGGATTCTTGGAAAGATATAAGATAGGAGTGACCCGAAGACGCCAATAATGGGCTGTAAGGGGATCTCCCTCCTAGGTTAAAAGCTCAATTGACATAAAATGGTAACCAAACTCATGCAATCCATGAAAGCCATCCATCAACTAAATAAATTCATCAATCAAACATAGAATCTGTCACATACATCAACATCAAACCAAAATCTAGACCTAGGGTTCATCTACCTAAGAGAAAGAGGTCTAGTTCATAGAGAGAAGAGATATTACAAAAATGGCTCAAGATCTTCATCTTCAAGACTTGATTCCCTGACTCCAAGATCAAATCAAGCCTCCAATTAAGCTCCAAGCTCACTCAAGGTCTCTCTCTCTCTCTCTAAAACTCCTCTTCGGTGTTTTAGATTGAAATCCTAGAGAGAGAAACAACTTCTTCTCCAAAAACCAACCCCCTTCTCTCTACTAGCTACTGTCTTTTTTATATGCTCAACAGTGCCGGCTTCACGGTCACTGTTCACGGGGGTGGTAATAGCAAGCAACCGATGATCTCAGCAAAAATGCACCATTTTGGGCTAACTTCACGGTCTCAAGGCGATTTTCATGCCCACAGCCAGTGAAGTCTAACTATGACCGCAAGATGTGCAAAGGCTGCTAGAAGTTGCACACTTCACGGTCTGGGGAAGATTTTCACCCTCTCAGGGCGTGATAATTGCCTCCTGCCCCGTGAAGTCTTGCACTTCACGGTTTGGGGGAGATTTTCACTCCCCTAGGGGGTGATAAGTACTTCAACATAATGGTTGTATTCCACACGAAGAAGAATCAAATTACAGTTATAAAGAATAGCCAAAGGGAGGGGCAGAAGACCCAATCCAAGTGCATGCTAGCTTGAGACTTCTTTGGCTTTCACTCAGATGAGGGTGGTCCACTTGCTCATATTGTCACGACTTTACAACACTTGAGGCAACTAAATGGATGGCAACAGACACTAAATTCGCATAAGCAGGCAGAAATATGTAAGACAATTAAAGGGATGAAGGGTTTGTAGGCATTGGAAATGAAATGCTTATTCCCATGTTCTTTCAAAAATATTACACGACCGTTAGTCATGTGCTATCAGAGTTTGCAATGCATTCTTATGATAATTCATGCACAGTGGCGAAGTTTAATGCAACAGTTTTAGTTTGCATACCGAAGATCCCACATCCTACCATCATTGAACAATTCATGACGATTAGCTTTGTAATGTAGCTTTCAAGGCAATCACCAAGTGGTCTACCTAAGAAACTTAAGCCTCTTATGCCAACTTTGATCCACGAGACACAATTTGATTTAATTTTGTCCCAGGTAGACATATAAGGAATTGCATCTTGTATGAAGTGGTTCACTGCATGAGATATAATCATGGCCAATCGACCTGGTTAATTGGATTAGATGGGAATTTGTGAGGGACAACTTTCAGGCTGTGAGTACCCCTACAAACATTATGGACCTCAACATGACTTGTATCACAATCCTCCAGCATGAGCCTGACACTTTCCATCCCTCTTGTGGCCTTCGAAACCTAACTTATTAACTCTCTGCATGGAATGGTTAAGTCATTTAATTACTAACACTATGAGTGATGGCCGATGACAACCCTTAAAGTTGATTAGGCAAAGTCCATTCATTTATTTCTCATATCTTCTTTGCAGATGGCATCATTCCTTTATGGAAGGCAACGATGAAACATGTTCAAGTAAGTAATAACTACTTTGAGCTACTTGAAACACCTTTCGGGAAACAAGTTAATAGGTCCAAGTCTGAAGTTTTCTTCTCGGGTGACATCAACAACAATCAAACATATATAACTTAAGCACGTCATTGGATGTCCCTCAAATCATCTACATTGGGAGAAACTTCGAAGCCCGATTATTCATGATTGCGTCGCAAAAGCAGCTAACGTTGAGCTAATTAACATGATTGATTCTCGTCTTGCTGCAGGATGGAAGGCTTTAACAATGTCTTTAGTGGCATGGATCAGTCTCACTTAGTTAGTCCTAGCTACTTGGCCAACATTTACTATGCAAACATTATTCCTCGTAGCGAGCGTCAAAGACTACTATGACAAGAAAATTTGTGTCTTTGTGTTGGGCTTATGGATGCAAGCCACTTCCTAGCTCCCGAGCCAAACTTTTGACCACCCTGTTGCAGAGTTTGTGCTTAATGGTGTGTGGACTAGTTGTTATTACTTTACTACATTCTTACTCCCTGCTCTCCTTTCACAGGTACTACTCCATCTTATTCCACATGAACATGAGAATGACCGACACTAACCTACAAGAAAATTCTCCCTCAATTTGCGTATGAACTCACCGACACAAAGGAGGCAAGGTCAGTTACCCACCCTGTTTGGTGCCATCTTTGGAAGATTGTAATACTGATGCTTTCTTCTAGCTTTCTATTCATGATTGATGGCCTACAAACCAGGAGCGGTCAAGGAAACATCTCACTTCTAGTCCGATTTGGGGTGGAGGTCTGGAAACGACGCTCCACATCCTCCGTGATTGCCCGTTCATTCGATCTAGCTACTTGGTCGGCATACTAAGGGATTAGGCATGTGAGAATTCCTTCCATCCAGATATGCTTTGTTGGATCTTCTTTTATACTATAGGGATGGGCTCATCACTTGATAATACATTATTTGAAGGAACCTGTTGGCTATTGTGCAAGAACCGGAATAACGATGTGTTCCATCGTAAGCTTGAGACTTATGCACAACTACAACTTAACACCAAACAGCTAAGGCATCACATTATCACTTCTTTTGGGAAGGAGAGCACAATTTTTGGAATTGGGAGAGCTCGAGAACGATGACTTATATAATGGAGACCTCCCTAGTAGGATTGGACATGCCTCAATACATATGGGTCTATCGTTCACTCTCCTTCTAGCACGACAGTTGACTACGTTGTAAGGGAAGACAATGACCGCTTTCTTAGAGCTTCTTCAGTAAAGTTTGGAGGGGGTTTCATTACCAGTGCAGAGATAGCTGGTATAGTGCATTATCTCAAAATTACCTAGGAATTGGGTGTTATGCAAGTTCTTCTACAAGCTGACTCATAACCAAACACCCGATCGAGACCGCAAAAAGCTACATTATTCGATGATTGCAGATATGAGGTGATTTATGTCTTTGCAGGTTAGTTTATAACATTTTAGATCATGTTTATCGAGAAGCCACCTTGTACCCGACTACCTTGCTATCTTAGGTCATTGTATGCCTGTAAGAGAACACAATTTTTCTTCACCTTGTCACTCCTTAGTTATTGGTTGTTATGCATAAAAGTTGTGGCACCCTTTAAACACTCTATTTTTTAAAAAAATTACCTAAAAATATATAGTCATTCAAACAAATCAGGTAGAAAGTCAAACTAGAATTCACATTTGCGCTATGCTACCAATAAAAAAAAGAGGAGGTACTATTTTTAATAACTTTATTAGAGTCGGGGGCGAAGTTACACTATGGCTTGGGAGCGTGGGGGAGGGAGGGGGGGGGGGGGCTGTCCCCCCTGAGAATTTTGAAAGTGACGATTCACGATTTTGAAAAATTACGTACAAGTGAAGTATAAAATATATAATAAAGGTTGCAAATAATATCACAATGGGTTATGTAGTCTAACGGAATGCCATTAGAAGGTGTTTAGGGGTGGTTTGGGTTTGATGCTCCATATAGTAATTTTTCTTCTCTTTTTGGCCTTAGTTGTACTTGGCATGAAAATCATATATAATCATCTGGTTTTCATATTTACTTTTTGTTTATGGCAAGGATGTGAAAACTTTGTATTTTTCAAGTTTAACAACTCTTTTAAATATATTATGAGTAAATGTTTACTTGTAGCGGATAGTGCACATTGATTTTTTAGCTATAAAAATAATGAAACATGTTAGCACTGAATGGATTATTAATTTTGCTGATAATTAACTCGTTCATAGTCCAAATGACATGGTATTTGTCATGTTAAATAATGTTTTAAGTAAATCTAATTGTCTTAAAAAAATTGGCTTGGGCAATTACGACAATTACAATTATTAGTTTTCATAACTTGATAAATTATTTTTTAGTTTGTTTTTCTTTTTCGACGTACGAACAGAAATATTTCGGCCTCCAAAAGCTTGAATCCTGGCTCCGCCATTATAATGAGCTTGGACATCAATCATCAGTTCATATGTTTGCCATTCGCATCGTTCAGAAAGCCACAGAAAAGAGAAGAAAGATACCTCACCTTCAAAATCAACAACCATGACCATGACCGACGGGCCGGGCTGTGCAGACTTTGCTTTGCATAGAAATAAGAACATTGCTTTCTATAGTTGTAGTAATCATCTCCACAAACAAGCTTTCCAGGGGAGGAGGGGGAAAAGTACATAAAAAGGACAAAGTTTCTTGCCTTCTGTTGTTCTGAACTCACAAATTCATGAAGGAAAACAACTCAGTAACAGGATTAAGTGATTAACCTTGCAGATGCACGGTGGACTGGCTGGTAACTACAATGATTCAAGCCGGAACTCAACAAAACAATGATTTATTCAACACGCTCGCACAACTTCTAATGAACATGAGCAGCAACTAAATTGGACTCTATTGGCGGCGGCAGCATCTGCAAGCAAACGACAGTAAAGAAAACGACAACAAATGATGGTTCCAGCAGTAAGCTAAGAAACATGAATTACTTGTCAATTCATCCTCTAGAACAAGTCAGGCATACCAACATCAATAAGGCCCCGAAAGGGGTCCAGAAATCACGCGAAGCAGATGAAGAAAAAGAAGAACAATGACAGAATGGCAACACGTCTTACCATTTATCAGCACCAAACCATCACTCTTTTCCCTTTTGTCAGCACAACAGGTCTTTGAGAACTACCAAACAAACCCAGATATCTACTACAGTATTTATATACAAGTAATCATCCTTTTATGATGTAGGACCACATATTATAAGAACTACAACCACTCCTTTCCATGATGCCAAAATCCAGTACCTCCAGCCTCGTGTATGTCCTAGCTATTCAGGAACCACCTGATGCAGATAGTGCAAATCGTTAACCATCCTACCAAAAGCAATCAACCATGATATGTTTCATACTAAGGTATCTTCATTTCCAAGTATCGGATAATTCGGAGGTGAATGGGAAAATGAATTCATATGAAAATGACCATGGTTCCATGTACAGATATCAAATTTCTCTGACCACAAGCAGAAACAAACCGTTGATCAATTCTTCAATGCCAAATCCATCCAGACTGACAACGGACAAAGCATGAACATGGAAGTTACAAGGCCAAGCAACAACTTCAGACATCAATTCTTAAACCAGAAACTAATATGAAGCTTATTGCCTAGCAGCAATCTAGTGGGAAAGGAACACATTAACTCGACATTGAGTAATGTCTGTTACAGCTTTTAGCTAATACTAGTATAGGATTCTGCACAATTTGTAACTTGTAAGGGCTATGCCTTTGCAGGGATGGAAAGTACCAAGGTATCACGAAATAAAACTCCAAACAAGTCCAGCCTGTGACAGGCAATGTATAATTCTGTAAGATTATCTGTTGTTTACCATCAGATTATCAGAAGACTGTTACGGCAAGCAACAGATGAAATTCAGAAAAGAGCAATACAACACTGTAGGTAAGTCAAATGAAAGTGTAGCCTGCAAAAATTTCTTCAAGTAAAACATTGATCGAGACATGACATCATTGACTTCTCTATCAATCACAGACTGGTAAGAACGACACAAATACACTAGAAATGATAACAAAATTACAATAGTTTTCTTGTTGTATTCACTATTTACCAGAATGGTGATCTCACACTTGTTACTTATGCACAAACTGTTAAGAGTAACAAAAGAGTTAATTGAAAGCTATACATGAGTAAGGAGGGTCAAACTCCGTACCTCAAGTTCTTATATACTCAGCTAGAGTTGCATATGACAAGTAAAGGTTTCAAAGAAACAAAAGTTGACCTCACGATAATATCCAACAAGAATCTGGAAGAGCTAAATCATCGTGTGCTATTTTATTGAACTTGTCTAGAAATGATACATGTACCACCGATCAGCATGTGCTCTACAGTCATCGATTCTACAAAGCCGAAACTACAAAAATTACAAGTCCAAAAAAATCAAAAACAAAGAAAAAAATTATGATTCAGGGTTTGAATTTTGATACACATCTCAGGAGTGCCAGCGAAACAATATCCGCAAATTTTCACAAATCTTTCTTCAACATATTGATCAAAAGATATGTATCCCTCCCTAATATATCAACAATTAGACACATGTGGAAGAGACAATAGAATTGGTGCAATGAAGCGGACAAGAACTGTTTTTAGGAAAACAATCATAAGAATGATATTGAAGAAGAAATTCTCTTTAGTACCCGGCAACACATCCCGAAAAGGAAAAATAAAAAAGAATTCAAGTCATCGTGCATCAGCCTTCTTCCCTGCAGCAGAATAGTAATTGAGATACCATCGAACAAATTTCTTCAACCCTGTTTGAAGATTAGTGGTGGGCTTATAACCAAGCTCCCTGTGAGCCAAACTAATATTAGCATGTGTAAACTGCACATCCCCATTCCTAGGCAACTTCATAACGTTCCTCTTGGCCTTCACCTTCAAAAGCCTTTCAAGAATGGTGACCAGATTGGTAACAGGAATAGGGGAAGTGTTCCCCAAGTTGAAAACTCTCAATTGGGCAGGCCCCTTCTTCTTTCCTCCACTGCCTGTACTCTTTTGTGCAGTATCCAAAGCACCTAAGCACCCCTTAACAATATCATCAATGTAGGTAAAATCTCGAGCAACCGTCCCATGATTCTCACCTTCAAAAATGGGTATGCTCTTCCCATTCAAGATATCCTTGGTAAAGAAGAAATACGCCATATCAGGCCGTCCCCATGGCCCATACACGGTAAAGAACCTCAACCCAGTAAGGGATAGGCCATAGATATGATTATATGTATGAGCAATTTCCTCCCCAGCCTTTTTGGTAGCAGCATACAAGCTTGCAGGTTGGTCAGTTCTATCTTTCTCAGAGAAGGGAACTTTTGTATTAAGGCCATAGACAGAACTAGAAGATGCCCACACAATGGCAGGTTGCGGGGTGGCCTCTTTGCAAACCTCTAGCAAGCTAACAAATCCGGCAATGTTGCTGTGGACATAAGAGCCAGGGTTCTGCATTGCGTACCTAACCCCAGCCTGGGCGGCCAAGTGCATTACATGGGTGAATGGCACAACTTCGAACAGCTTCTTCAGCAATGCGGCGTCATTGATATCTCCTTCTACGATGAACACCCCAGCGCGCTCCAGAAGCGCTTGCCTAGCCCGCTTAAGAGTTGGATCATAGTAATCGTTGAAATTATCGAGCCCCAGAACGCCATCCCCGCGGCGCTTCAAGGCAGACGAGACGTGGGTCCCAACGAAACCGGCAGCGCCGGTGACGAGGACGGAGAAGCCATTGCGGGAACGGATGCGGGCAGAGGTGCGAACTTTCTTCTCCCAGGCGGGTCCGCCCCAAGAAGAGGTGCGTAGGGAACGACGCGACGGATCAGAATGGAAGCGACTGGAGGAGGACGATGTGGCGGCGGCGGCGGAGGAAGAGGATGAAGACGAAGGGGATCGATAGAAGAAGATGAAGATGACGCCAATGAATACAAAGGACCAAAATGTGAGCTTTGCCAAAGATGAGTGCCACCTCAACCTGCCGCCATGGTAAGGGTAAGCGGATTTGTCCATCTTGAATTTGCCAGGGGTTGAAGGGGTGTGATCAAGATGAGACATTTGCTTCATCTGCGGGGGGGCAATGTCGATGGTGGTGGGAAAGAATGGGGAGGGAAAGGGGGAGGTTTGGAAGGAAGGAGTTGATTTTCTTATATTTTGGGGATTCGGGAAAGCTAGAGTTAGGGTTTGCAGCAAATTATTTAGCAGATTGCAGGAAAATGGATCGGATGGAAGGACGGGGGTGGGGGAATTGATGGTGCTGAGCAAGATAAGGAGGGAGAGATGCAGTAATGTAGAAATGGTAAGGAGTCCCTCTGTTTCTCTATCTATCTCTCTCTATATTTTCTCTCGGAGGATCTGCTTTTTTAGCTCTCCGCCATTTTCTTTCTTCGTTGTTTGTTCTTTGTTGTTGGTGCTGGTGGTGGTGGTGTGGAGGAGAGGAGACGAGAGGTGTAAGGAATCTTTTTCTTTTGTTTTGTTTCATTTTTTCTGTTTAATAAATATGGTTAATTATTAATTTTTTATATTTTTATTTTCTGGGTTGTTGGAGAGGATGGATCCGTGATGTTATTGTTCTATTGTTTGGCGGGTGACTTTTTTTTTTTTTTACAAGAGGTGAAATTTGGGAATTTTCTCTTGTTTGTTTTGCCTTTGTTTTTATACTCATTGATTTTTGGATTGAAACTCCATCTTTTGTGACAAAATTAGTTGGCAGGGAGAGAATAAGGAGTCAAAATGAAGGATGTGATCAAGTAAAGTTAGCTTCATCAGTTGAGTTTGTTTAATGATTCGTTATTTACCCAAAAACATTTATTCATTGATAAGTAATTTAATTTTGAGAACCCAATGGTGGTTAGGTTATGAAATATGAAGTTTAAGAGAGGAGGGGAGGGAAGTCCTTGATTTTTGGAAAACACTCTATCCGAATCTCAAATTAATAGCTACACTTTTTAGGATTTTAGTTTGGCATCGCTTTGGGCGATTAACTATTCTCCTTTTATTTATAGATTATTTTTTACCATCTAAATTTAATTTTTTAATTGATAGAGGTGGTTGTTTCTTTCATATTCTTGTTGTTGAGATTACCAACTTACTTGGATAGTTTTACAAAGCTAGCTAGGACAACGTAAAGCGGATACTATGGTACCGTTATTAAAAGTGTTGAACCAGCTTACTTGGATAGTTTTACAAAGCTAGCTAGGACAACGTAAAGCGGATACTATGGTACCGTTATTAAAAGTGTTGAACCAGTGGTGTTGGTTCTTATTGATCTAGGCAGTTATAAGGTGATGCGACACTATTTGGATTTCATTTCCTCTTGAGTTCGAGTTCGATGAACCAGTGACCTCTCTTCCCTTTGGCATCATTTATACCCCCTTCGTTTAGGTTCACAAACTATTGGGCCAACCATCTTTCTATCAGTATGCTCACCTCCGTGATGAGCCCTAGATGGATCTCTTGACTCAGAATCACACAACAACGAATTGAATTTGAAGTCAATTCGCTATCTCGAACTAGAACATGGTGAATTTAGGATGGTGGTGGATGGATCTCTCGTGCAATCATTCACAAGGACGAAGGCTCGAAAAGAATAGGTTAGAAGCCAACCACGATCAATGGTGAATAGCTTGATCGATACAGCAAACAAGCTACCTAGAACTCGTTCTAAGCAACTCACAAACTCATGTAGCAAAGCTTGTGAATCAAACTCTATGTTTGTATGCAATTCAATGAAACCTGACTATTACAATGCAATTTAAAGACTTAAATAGAGCTAGGCTAGGTAAACAAACTAATACAAGAGTTCTAAACACAAACAAACTCGGAATCAAAGTGCAAAACAAAAAAGGCAAAGTAATCCTAATCCGAAGAGGATTCGAATTTTGTAGTAAGCAAGACAGTTTAGGGCGACTTTTGATGAAAGTAATCAATTGTCGTTCCACCTTGATTGCAAGGTCAACTGCCTCCTCTAGCTTGACTAAGGATCAAAGATCAGTTCGTGGCGGATGTCACGATTCAATCCATGGAGAAATTGTGAAATTGTGGCCTACTTATCCTCCCTGACATAAGCTCGCATCATGAGAAACTTAAATTCCTTGAAGTAATCATCAACAGATCGAGTTCCTTGACGAATTCCTTGAAGTGCTTCGTCCAATTCTAATTGGTAGTAGTTTGGCACAAACCTGTTCTTGATGAGGCCTCTTAATTCGGCCCATGATCGACTTCGGGATGTAAATTATGTCGTCACTGGAGTCGAATCTGCTCCCAGGGATATTCATAATGATGGAGATTGCTTCTTGTTCAAGCTTGTAGAGTGAGCCAAAGGGAATCATATCACTCCGTCGGTTGCACAAACACGTAATCCAGTTTGCTTAGTGAAGCGAAGTGTGAACCCCTCTTATGCTATGTGTGATTATTTACACCTCATGTTCTTCACATATTCTTGCTACATATTATATTACTATATGCAGTCCAAATGTCTACCAAAATTTCTCGTAATTGTTGTTTTTCTCATGATTGGTTGTTATGAAGTATTATCCTCTTGAACATTGATGATGTTCCAACGCACACTAACAATCCTAACTTAGGTAATGTATTCCCTAAGTTAAGGAAGTGATGTAATCGAGACCTCAAGGTCGGATTTCATAGGAACATGAGACTATTTCTAATTTGGAGGCTCATTGTCATCTAGTCGAGCAATTATTGGTAGATTAATTATGACAAACAAGGAAATTAATTACTCAAAGTACTACTCAAGAGAATGTGGTACTTGGGGTTGACACCCCCGTCTCCTAACTCCAATTATGTGAATTAAGTGGAATGAAACTTCCTTGTATCTTCCCTAGCCATCTATGATCTAAGAATCCCTCATGTAACAATTGGGTCAATGGTCATACCCGATTGTACCTGACTAAGTAATTGACCCTATTATCATGCAATGAACCACTGATAGACCGATAATTATACATGTTTTTACCCCTATTCTGAGGCCGTTTGTGACGAGGAATCTCGTGTTTTAAGCCGATTTCACGCTAGGTTGTGTGTTTATGTCATATTTCAGGTCCCGGCGTTGGAATCGAGGCGGAGAAACGAGTTCTGGGTCGAAAGGAGCAAGGTTGGGACGAATAGGGCTGGAGGAGGAAAATACCCGGTCAGGTGGCCCAATACCCGACCGGGTATTAACCCATTTTGGGCGCCCGAGAAGCAGAGAGGGGCCCGGGCACAGCAGTTAAATCCCCGGTCGGGGATTTTGGTGTTGGACCGGGGATTTCCCTCTTTAGTGAAACGATGCGTTGCAGAGATACCCGGTCAGAACCCAAAATACCCGACCGGGTATTTTGACCGGGTATCGCGACCAGGCAGCTGATAAAAGAGGAAGAAGGCCGAATTTCAAGGGGTTCCGAGTTTTTGAGAGAGAAACCGATACCTAGAGAGAGAAAGCGTCGAACCAGAGTTCTCAAGCGCCATAGATCGATCTTCAACACCATTGGAGCCCGTCTTGAGCTTGGAGAAGTGCGATTAAACGTCCAGAAGCAGGAATCCAACTTCACAGTATGATTTCCGTGTCTGAATCTGCTTTTGCTTCTTTCTCTATGGAGTAGTTTCCCCATTCATCTGGGTATGGAGAACCCTAGATTTGTATGCTAGGTCTGATTGTATGAACCCAAGTACTGATTCTGTGATTTGATTATATTCGATTGAGGTTTTATGATTGAATGACTTGAATCCTGATCAAATTCCTGTTGTTTCTGCTTTAACCTAGAATGAGAATATCTGCCTAGGTTAATAGAGTATCCTTGATTGAAGGTAGGGAGTTGGTGACTTTAGTCGAGGAGCCAACTCACTATTCTGTACCGGATTTACTCCGGTAGTGGAGGTTTTGTTCTTAGGGCCTCAATCTGTCGACTCCGGTGGAGGTTAGTCGCCCGCTAGAGAGTCAGATTGAGAGGGTCTGAAGACCTTTAGTCGAGACTTCAGGCTGTTTAAGAACCTTCCGCAGTATAATCTTCATAGAAATTGAACTTGGTAATTACAATCCGGCTTAACTGCAGTCTAGGGGGAACCATATCCGGGTGACCTCTCTTGACTTGACAACAAACCGTTTACTTGCTCTGTGTTTTGTTTGCTTGAGTTTCACTAAAAGTTCACCGCTAAATAACAAGAATTCACCGAGTAGTCATCACATCTAGGACCCGGGTTGACATTAAAACCCGACCCGCTATACTACGCTTTAGGAATTGGTTATACTTGGCCATTTTCTAGGGTGACAGTAACAGCGAGTCAACCACCTCGTTTGGGCTTTAAGGGTGGATTCTTGACACAAACCCAATGAGAAAATAGGCAAACAATGCAATGGTCATGCAATTATCCACATGTACCATTTGATTCAAGGTTTTAGACTGATTCAAGCCTATTTGTACACATGTATATCCTTTTTCTTTCCCATTTGACTTGTGTAGTATCGTCCTTGGAGCCATTTTATGCTAGGTTTTTGCATGTTTTAGTATTTTCAGATTCTAGCAAGTGAAATTGGCAATAGGGTAAAAAGTCGGACAAAAGAGCCAATATAGGGCATTTATTCACGGGTTCATTGCGTGAAGATTTCACCCAAACCGTGAACATCTCAGAATTCCAGGAAGACCAAGATGACTCACGCGCAATTTCAGACTTCTTGGTCTCAGGCGTGAAGATTTCAACCCGACCGTGAAGTTTGTTATTGAAATGGTGTGCGGAGACAAACAGGGCAACAACGGCGGCTCAGGCCAGGATAGCGGCGACGCTTATCCAGGCGGCTGCCACATTGGAGAAGACGCGCGGGGTGGCGATGGCGCCGGCGGGAGCAGACACGGGGAGCGAGACACTTGGCAACCCTTGCCGCGCGAGCCAAGCTTCTAAACAGGAGAGCATACCGGGGTTACTGCCTACCTCGCCTGGGCTGGGCCTGATGGAGGCACGCTTAAAAGGGAAGGCTCTCGACTATGAAGGGGAGCCCATGTTCGGGGATTTCAGAGGCGGATGAACAGGCTTGTTTGAGCCCAACCGCACCAGAAGAAAGTAGGAGTTTAACTTTGGGGGCCTAGAGGACACATGGATGAACCCAGGGCCACCGAGTACGAATCGGGGTTGGGTTTCTAACCCGAATAGAGACAGATGGGTCCGGCCCGAAACACTCGGGCGAACCGGAACCGGCCCACTCCGTATAGACTTGAATCGACCTGATCATGAACCGAACGGTATGGACAACAACACAAGAGGCCGACAGTGATGGGTAGGATGCTATCGACCTCCTAGCCCGAGGTACTCACCGCTGGTCACACCTAGCGCTGAAACCGGCAAGGCTGGACACATGGTGGAGCCGAGACAAGGGTCTGGAGCCAGTATGGGGGACTTCAGAGGATACATGAAGGAGAGAGGCGGCTGGTCTCTTCCTTAAACATTCCAGTATGAGCCAGAACCGGGGTTCGGGGGTGGCGCGAGTTAGTTTTACCCGGGAATGGACAGGTATGGAGGACACCACCAACTCTATGGTATGACTGATAACATGGTATTTCGAGTTAAACCGCCTGTTATAGAGTTTCCTAAGTTTGATCTTCATGGCGATGTGGGATTATGGTTGTATGCGGCGGAGAGGTGGTTCAGGAACCTAGAGGGAGATGCACTGCAATGGTGGGAATGGATGGAGCGGTCGTATGCCACAATGGACGCGGTTATTACTTAGATGATGTTCCAGGAGGAGCTTAGGTACCAGTTCAGTAAAGTAGAGGGGTGGGCACCAGAGCAGTTGGCCAAACTGAAGCAGACAGGTACGATGGAGTATAGGGCCGAATTCCTGAAGTTTGGGAACCAGTGCAGGGGAAGGGCAGAAGAGACCATCGTGGAGTTGTGTATGGCGGGATTGAAGCCGTAGCTGGCAGCCTCGGTCCGTGTGTTTGAACCTAATTATTTACGGGTTGCGTTTAAGCTTGCAGGTCATAAGGAGGAGGAACTTGCTAGCTGAAAGGGGAGTGTGAGGAGCTTTTCGAGGAGCGCAAGCGGATCCGGAGGGGGACTCTCCTATGCACCAGCCGCTGGTGGACAGACTGCACCGGGAACTGCAAAGCCGGTAGCTACTGCCTACTGGAGTCGCGTCTGGCGGACGCATTCTAGCTCGTCTACAGCCAAAGGGATTTGTAAAGTTGACTCTGGCAGAGATGGAATAGAAGCGCAGGGAAGGGTGATGCTTTAACTGCGATGACAGGTACACAGTGGGACACCAGTGCGCCAAGGGGCATCTCATGCTGCTCGTGGGTAACTAGGAGGATGAAGGAGAGGAGGCCGCGAATGTAGAGGCTAAGGAACCAGGGAAGGAGGCGGACCAATCTTGAGGGCAAGGTTGGTCTCAAGGAGGGTGGATTGTTAGAAACATGGTTTTAACTCGATTGATGTTTTGGACTTGTTTGCCATTTTATAAATATTTTGGTATTAGTCTATTATTTCGGGAATATTCAGTTGAGAGCTATTATTTTGGGTAGTTATCAGGAATCAGACTATATATTCTGTATTAGTGGGGTCTTTCTCATTAAACAATAACAGAACAATTATTCCCTAAACACTAAATCTCTCTCTCTCTCTCCCTCTACCAACCTCGTTCTCCCTCTCTTCCTTCCCTTGTAGCTGTCAGCCCTCCTCTTCCTTGTGGAGACCGATTTTCGTCTTCTTCCTCAAGCTTCTCCTTCCAATCCCCAAGTCCTACATCAATTCTCAATTCTACGAGTCCGTTCGACGATACACGAACCCTAGACATTCACGCCTAGATACGTGTTTCTTACAATTTCCTTCATTCCATCAATACTGATGCATATGTTATCGACTAATTTAAATTTTCACTTGTCTTTATCATCATATTTTGGCACAACCCACTCTTGGACCATGCTTTGTTGGATGATCCATACAAAGAGGCATCCTAATCCGACTCGCAACCTTACCAAGATCCTCCTTTAATAATAATTCCGCTCATAATCTTGTTAGTTTGACCCAATCAAGAATGGCTGAGTTATCAATATCTTGAGCTTAATATTTGGAATCCAACGCCTTAAACACAACATGTTATTGCGATACCTCCATGGTCCTTGTTCAAACACCCATCGACAGCTAGCCTCAGAGGGAAATTGAAATAATACCAATCGGTCATCGAACCAAGAAATCTTCTCCTCTCCTCTCCTCGACCCTATAGCCAATTATCCCATCGACAGCTCGTCCCTCCTTAATGAATGATTTGGGAATACAAAGGGATCCATTCACGTGCTCCGACTAATAATACTCTAATTTGGTATCTTCCAAAGCACCAAAAAGGGAAGTCCAAATATGACTACCATCAACGATGTCTGGTAAGGCTCCTTCAGCGGCGACCGCCATCCTTTTTCATTATAAAATAGTTTTCATAATTTCACGTACCCATATAGATAGTCTAGCTGGCTATTAGCAGTTAAGTTAAGACACAAAAAATAGTGGTATATTATTAATGAATTGAATAAAGAAGGAATATAAAATCCATAATGTCAGGTAAATCTAAAACTGTATCCTAGAAATGATAAATGAGAAGTTTGGCTATAAGAGATGGATTACTTATTGTGACGAAAACAAAATACAATAGAAGTGGAGGACATTGGAAAGTGACATGGTCTACATGTACGCATGCACCATTGTGCTAGTGTAATTCATATCTTCTACTTTTGTATTAATGTTATCTATAATATTAACATACTTGTTAGACCTTTATATGTTGAGTAGCAGATTCTTTTCTAACAAGTAATGATACATTTGTTATATTATTAATTTTTTTTATAAAACGAAATAAAGAAAAATCAATGGATTGAATTGTGAGCTATATTAATATTAGCTAAATTCTCAAATGGAACACAAAACAAGGTTAGCTTTACAAGGTCTTGGTGCATGCTTGCCCTTGCTATAGAATTACTATTAAACGGAGAAGAAAAGGAGGAAAACTCAAACGACATAAAAGGAGAAGCCATATACCATTTGGGGAGATGAATAAATGACATGAGTTTCAGTGGCTCGAAATGGAAGGCAAGTATGAGAGAATTAATATGACCCAATGATATGAATAGCCTATTGCAGTTAAAGCCAAGTACCACACCCTTTTCCCATTTATCCTTCTGTCCTTTTTTTTCTCCTTCCCCTCACTGGTTTATACGTACTCTAACCACATATATTTTTCTAGTCCACATAACAAAACTTCATAATGTACGTACGAACCTCCACAATCATATTTTTTTCTTCTTCTTATAGACGTACGTGCGGCGGCGCCACCATATCTCTCTCACAATGACATTGCAATCAGAAACACGTACATAAAACCCCATAATTTTATTTTATTATACCGTGGAAAAAGTCTCGATCATATAATCTGGTTTCATTCATCACACCACGTGTCATCCAAACTCCTGGCACGTTGTCCTTTAGTCTCTCATCTATGTCTGTCTCTCTCTATCTCATCTCGCATCATTCTCATTTTCCAATAACCATTACTTAGGCTAAAAACAAGGTCACTCCCTCAAAAACTCACCATTCTCCCTCTTCACTTTCACTACAAGAAGAAACAAACATACATCCGCCTCCCACAATTCCCCTCTGTGTTTTTCTTACATTGCATTGACTCATTTTCTTTGTTCATCCCCTTCTTTGTTCATCTCTTTTTTCTTCACCCTTTATAGTATTACCTAAAATTTATCAATCGTCAATTCCTTGTTCTGAGATTTTGCAAGCCTCTTTCTCATTGTATGGCACTAATTGTGGATCAACAATCAGGGTTCAAACATTATTGCAAGATTTGCAAGAAGGGGTTTGGATGCGGGAGAGCCCTTGGGGGCCACATGAGAGCTCATGGGATTGGAGACGATATTGCAGATCACATGGAAGAGGAAGATCCCACAAGTGATTGGGAAGACAAATTACCAAATGAAGATAATAATGTGGCCCCCACGAATAAGAGAATGTATGCATTAAGAACAAACCCTAATCGCCTAAAGAGCACTCGCGCTTGTGAGAATTGTGGAAAAGAGTTCTTCTCTTGGAAATCATTCCTTGAGCATGAAAATGGAAAATGCACCTCCGAAGATGTCGATTCCTTGATCTCTTCCCCTCCTTCGGATGAAGGTGAAGAATATGGCCCTACAATGAGGGGAAGCAGTGGTGGTGGTTGGTCCAAAAGGAAGAGGTCCTTCAGAGCTAAGGTTGGCATTGGTAATAACAACAACAATAACAACTCCATTTGCGCATCAAGTGAGGAGGAGGATCTAGCCAATTGTCTCATGATGTTATCCAATGCCACAAACACAGTGGATCATCCTCCTTTGATGGTCGAACCAGAGGAGTCATGTGCATCGGCGAGTAAAGATGAGGATCGAAGAAATTCCAACAACTTAATCGCTCCAGTTACTAACATAATGTATCAGCCTGCGATGGCGCCAACCATTGACAAGGCCAAGGCAAGTAAAGGGTTGTTTGAATGTAAGGCTTGCAAGAAAGTTTTCAATTCACACCAAGCACTTGGAGGGCATAGGGCTAGTCATAAGAAAGTTAAAGGTTGTTTCGCTGCCAGGCTGGATAACCACCATAATAACCAAGCTTCTGTCATTGGTGATAGCATGGCTGATGATGATGCCATCACCATGCAACAGGATGACACGTCAATGAAAGTGGCATCGTCGAGCTTTCAGTTCGACCATGGCTCTCAACCTATTGCTTCACCCTCAAAGAGGAAATCTAAAGTTCATGAGTGTTCCATTTGCCACCGGGTGTTCTCTTCCGGCCAAGCATTGGGCGGTCACAAGCGTTGTCATTGGATTACATCCAATTTGCCGACAGCCGATGCCTCATCGTTGGCCACAAAATTTCACCAATTTCAAGATCACCTAGAGCAAATTCAACACAGATCTCCCAAGTTTATTAGGACGATAAGTAATTCTGAACCCTTGGATCTCACGCTTGATCTTAATCTTCCAGTGACTTCCACGGTGGTCGCCAACAATCCAAACCCAGCTACAAGGCAAGGCCATCCTCGTAATCATCCTTCTCCTAACAACTTTGCAATGGCTGCTGAGGTTTACTTACAGTCGTGGATGGGAAAAGAGAAAAAGGTAGACCAAAATGACGAGGAGAGTATTAAGAAGAGTCATGACAAGAATAACGAAAATGGCAATGTTTCTTCGTCGACGCAGACGGTTGATGACGAAGCAGACAGTAAACTGAAATTAGCAAAGCTTAGTGAACTTAAGGACGTACATATCAACGGGAATTCATCACCATGGTTACAGGTGGGAATCGGTTCCACCGCCAATGTGGGCGCAGACCATTGACCTAAACCAAAATCGGTCTTTTCTTTTTTCTTTTTTTTTTGTGAAAAAGATATACCTTTTTTCCATTTGAGAATTCCATCTCTTGTGAATTTTTTTAACTGAATTTTGTATTTACAAACTGTAATTACAGAATTGAACACGAGATGATTAGCATAAATTATAAACATACAGAATACTCATGTAATAGCTTATGTACTTTTTATTTTCCATTTTACACCATTTGTTTCTGGAACAGGAAATTGAATCCAATCTAGTATTTCTTATGTGGATGATATTTCTCGTAGAAACCTGTAATTTTTTCAAAAGAAACATAAAAAACATGATACTCAACATATTTGAGAGTACATACAGTATATTTTCCCTTATCAATAACTTTTTGATTTTGTTATTAATTAGCATCCTAATTTTGGGATCATTTAGTGTATGGCAAGTCCATTAATTATTTTACCATTTTATATGATTTGTTTTTTTTTTTTTGTTTTTTTTTTTGTGTTATTGATTTGATCCATTTTATACATGTTTACACCCCTTTATCTTTGTCGTTTGACTTGTGTATCATCGTTCTTGGAGCCATTTTATGCTAGGTTTTGTCATGTTTTAGTGTATTTCAAGCTCTAGCAAGTGAAATGGGCGAAAGGATCGAAAGTCAGACAAAAAAGGGCCAAAATAGGACTAAGTGATGGAGATGTCAAGGTTCAAGGTTCTGGACATATCATCACGAGCTCAGACCGTGAATATTACCTCAAAACCATGATCGATATAAGTTCCCTAGAGGCTTTGGACATCTTGTGGGCATGAAGAATGCAAGGAAATCATTAAGTTTGTAAGTGAAACAGTGAGTTTTGTGTCGACATCACAGTTTCAGTGCACACATCACTGGCATGATGCATGACCGTGAAGATTACACTGATGTGTATAAATATGAAGAGAGAGAGAGAGAAGATTTAAAAGGCATTGGAACCATGGTCCAGGAAACTGGATCAGACCGGCCGGTTGAATCGGTAAAATAGGAAATTGGACAAAATCCGAAATGGTACAGCCAAGTGCTCCAATTTAGAGTGTCGGCCGGTTTTATAGTCTGAATCGCAAAACCGTGAAATACCGGACGGTTTTGATCCGACCGGCCGGTAAAGAAAAAAGGGAGGATTTGATCGAGAATCCAGCAAACTCCTCGTCGATGGCGAAGGAGAAAGGGAGACAAGATCTTGGAGAATGACCAAGGATTCGGGGAAATGCCCATCGACGGCGAAGGAGAAAGGGTAGCTACATCATCGGCATCTTTCTTCAGATCGTTTAGTCCGAGCCCGAGCTATCCCCTTCCTCTCATGCCCTGTGTCCAACTCCGGCCTCTGGCAGTCCCTTCTTGCACAGTCTCCACTCTAGTTGATTTAGTGCTCGGTTTGTTTGGCAGTCAGAGGATGGGGAATTGGTGATGAAGGGGTCTGAAAAATTGATTTTGATGGTGAGGCCGCAGTACAGGAAGGAAGGAGGGAGAGAGAGAGAGAGAGAGGGGGGTAGAATATGGGGTATGGGAAATAATAATTGATTTCTGATAGGTTTTGGGCTGTGGATTAGTGGGATAGGGGGTAATGGGAAATAATAACTGATTTCTGATAGGTTTTGGACCGTGATTAGAGGGATAATTAAGTAAAATTATACAATCAGCCATCCATCTACCGATTATTTCACAATTAGTTCTATTTTAATTAATTATCTATCATTGTATACTTCTATTACAATCTTAACCTCATTCCTATACTTCTATTGATGTACAATCTGGTGTATGATTATATTTTTATATTTATGATTTTCTATCCGGTATATTTTGATTTTATTCCGTTATTATTCTAAACGGTACTATATTCTGGTTGGCACGGTATTTTGACAAAAACAATATTTTATTATTATAAAAACGATATTTATCGGTACAAAATGGTTGAACCACGGCCGTACCACAAAATACCCTACCACAAAGGAATCCGGTATGACGTCTGGTACGGTTTCCTGAAACATGATTGGAACTAGTGAGAGAATTGGAGATTTCCTTCAACCTAGAGAGAGTGATGAAAAGGTTGATTTGTGCTCTCAAATAGAGATTTGGGGGCTTGATTACACCTTCAACACCATCCTAAGCAACCAAAGAGGAGGAACATGACATTTCTGTGGTGGTTTTTTCCTATTTGGTGGTGTTTCTCACTCTAGGCAGGGAGTAGTACTCCTAGTCAATTGGATGATGTAGAACTCTAGTCTATTATGTTGTAGTTGAATGATTGGAACCCTATGAGTTGATTTGCATGATTGATTATATATTGATTTGTGCATTATAAAGGAAAATTGGAGGTTCTTTATCACCTCCCCCAATTTGGTGCTAATTGATCTAAGTGAGAGAATATCTTGTGAGGGTTAATTTAGAGCATTTCCTAATAAACTTTTTGGGGTCTATGAACGAGTGTGATTAGACTCCTATCGACCTTCCCAGTCTTTACCCAATTGAGGAGTATATTTGGTTTCCCCACTTGCCAAGGTCGGAGTTCGTACGCCTCTCTAGGTAGAACAATTGCGCGGGTCAGGACAACTCGATTGGAGACTCCTAACTAGCTTGGAACTCCTACAATATGTGCTAAGTGTGAATCCCACTAGGATATCAAAATATTGACTGAACATAGGATAGAGGGAAGCTCATCCATGAGGTTTTTCCAATTTGAATCCACTCACAATTTACTTGCATTTTTGTTTAGTTTGTAATTTAAAACAACAAATCAATCGCTAGATATTGCTAGGTTGATGAAGTAAAGGTAGATAGACCGTCCGGGTTTGATAATTCGAAAATACTTGCTCTATACTACACCCGATTGAAGGTTGCACTTGGCCTTCAATTAGGATAGGTATAGTCAGTAGTGAGCCAAGTTTTTCTGGCACCATTGTCGGGGACAACAGTCAATTATCCAGAAAAGGATCTATTGTTAATCTAGCTTTTCTTTTGTTAATTTTGTGTCGGACCTTGGTTTTGTTATCTACGCTTGCGTCATTTGAAGTGGTTTGAGGTGGTGTATGACTCGGAGCAACCCGGATCACTTGGTGCCACTAGACGACAACATTAATTTGACTCTCCAACTACTTGCACGTGACAGGGAGTTAAATGAAGCAAGGGAGAGACTCATGATTTGGGCTCAACCCAAAGAAGAAGAGATAGTTGAAGAGGAGGAGTGTGTGGTTGCCAACATGGCCAACGAAGCTGCTCCACAAGGTGATAAGGAGAGGACCACCAAATATTACATGTCCCAATGGGTGGAGGATATCCAACCAATCATCCAAAATCCCATCATGGCGGCAAAAAAATTTGAGATCAAGACCAGTCTTGTCTTAATGATCCAAAATACCATTGATAACATAGTATTTGCACATGTTTTCCTCATCATTTTTGGACTGTTTCAGATAGATTTTTTGCAACAAAAGGCCGATTTTACACTAGGTTGTGCTATTTTGTAAAATTTTAGGGCCTAGTTTGTGGATGAAGTCTTTGGGGCAACATATTGATCAAATGGAGCAGAGATAGGTCAAGTGTTGCAGAGCAAATTGCGGAGAACAGGCAAGTAATAACATCATATTTACACATGTTTTTCCTGACATTTCTTGATCGTTTGACTTGGAAGTTGGTTGCTTTGTTGCCCATTTTATGCTAGGTAGTGCTTCTAGTTGGTGTTTCAGGTCCTAGTATGTGAATGGAGGCTTAAGAGCAAGTCTAGCTGCAATTGGAGAGAAGACGGGATCTGGAACAAATCAGCAAAATCCACGGTTTTGGAGTCCAAATCCACGATCGTGGAATTGACGTTTGGACTGTGCTTTTTGGGCAGTAATTTCCCTCGGCTTGGTGTTTGCATTCCAACACTAGGGATTTATCGGGGGAGACGGTGGATTTCTGTCGAGGACCACTAATGGGAGACACGTCGTTTTGGAATTCCACGATCTGGAGGCCATTTCCATAACCGTGGATTCTGATCGTGGATTCTAGTCACGAGGCTACTAAGGTGAAACTCAGGGTTTTTTGTCCATGTAATCCGGTTTTGCAAGTTCTGAAACAGCAAGAGAGAACCCTATAGAGAGAAAGTGATGAAGAAAAACCTTGGGAAGAGATTGGAGCGATCTAAGGACAATGGAGCTCGATCTATCACCCTCAGAGTGCCGATTTACGGCTTGGAGCATAATTTCATCCCTCTTATGATGATTTCTCCTTCAAGCCTTGTGTTTTCTCTTCTCACCATGGAGTAAACTCTCTTTTCAATTGGGTATGAAGAACCCTAGTCGTGTATGTTAGGAATGGTTTTATGAACCCAATTTCGTGAATGATTGTGCTTGTGCGCGATCGAGCTTTAAATTTATAAAGTCGAACCACACTCACTATTTAATCCTAACTAAGACAAGTATAACTTAGATAGGGTTGTAGTAAATTGGCTCGGTCATATTCCTAGGGATCCCAAAGTTTGTTATTACTTCGCTCCGAACTACTATCTAATCGGGTCGGAAATTTGGTGAGGGGTTTCAACTAATTTAACCTACTCCTAAGGAAAAATAAACAACCAACCAGGTGTTTGGGAGATCGCTAGAGATGAGACGGTTTCCTAGGGTCAAATCCTCCTAGCTACGGTTGTGTAGTAGGGTTAATCGAATGTGGCGAATGAGCTCTTTTCTGTGGACTTTCGTGGTTATCCACATGCCTCCGAGTACGCCTCCCCTAAACCCATATATAGTCACCTCGATCTAGGATATCGTATTTGGGGCATTAAGCTAATGGCTCATTTCAATGGACACTATCCACCGTCCACGCCGAGGTTTTATCCCAAGTTCTATCTAGGAAGGCTACCTATAGCAGGGGTTCGGTCGCCTCGACCATTATAGGCTCCCATTCATACATCTAACTCAATTTGCTTGATGGCGCATACCCGTCTAACTCTAAAACTCCAAACCCAGCGTAGAAGCGTTAAGTACGTTAGTAGAGAAGA